ATGTATATGCATATGTATATGTATAAGTACATGTACATGTATGTGTATATGTGTCTGTGTATGTGTATGTGTGTGTATATATGTATATATGTGCACAAAAGATATTTAGGGCTCAGAATACTTCACAGTGGAGCGTAGTTGGCGGAGATAGCTGAGTGCCCCAGGCCCACAGTGGCGCGACATCCTTTGCCAAGGAAGCCAGCCAGGCATCGACACGCGCGTTCTAGACGCAGCAAGGCAAAAAGGCGAATCAGAGATTCGCGACTGCGTGGGACACCTTGCCCCCGTAAGGACCTGTCAACTCTCCGAAGTCACCACGGACACACGGTAGCCGTTTGGGCATGGATGGGTGGTGAGAAGACATGGAATGGAGGAGATCAGGGATCGCGCTCTGGATGGGGATATTGGCGTGGTTCTTGGCCGGCGAAATCCACCAGGAGCAACGCTTTTTCCGGCCTACGAGGGCAGGGACCTCGAGAAGAGGGCTCGGAGCCTCCTTCCTTTGCTGAGGCATTCCAGGGCAGGCTGGCCAGCACGAGAAAGACCGAGCAGCGTGTCCACTCCCTTCAAGGACCCTTGACGAAGGGTTAAGAGATGTCGGAGCTATATCTGAAGGAGATGAAAAAGGCCTTGAAAAAGGAGATGGGCAGATTCGTGGCGCGGCTACGTGCAGACTTGGGGCAGACCCTGCAGTCACAGGAGGAGGCACGAGCCATGCTCCTCCGTGTCGCAGCACTTAGGGGGCAAGCGCCAGCAGGTGACCTGGCAAGCATGGTGGGAAGCTTGTTGGACGGCGATGTCCCTATGCATCCTCATGCAAAATACAAGCGCGACAGGCTCTTCGATGGTTGGCTTGGGGAAGGCGAAAACAACGATGCCCAATCAGTTTTGAGGAGAGCTTTGGAATCCGGAGCTGGTGGCACGCTCTGCCCTCGCGGACATCAGACGAGGAGGCAGCAATGGTGGACATGGCACGCTTTGCTGCAGGTGTCCTTCCCGCAGATCGTATTGGGGCCGCTCTCCCGCGTCAGCCTTTGGGTGTCCGCGGCCGTGAAGGACCCCTATCTTCCTACGCGCCGGCGGTGCTCCCGCAACTGCTTGACGAGGACGGGCAGCTATGCGAGGAGCCAGAAGCTGTAATTGGCCGATGGCGAAGGCATTTCTATAGCCTTGAAGGATGACCCCTGGCCAGGTAGCTGGCCTTTGCCTACCGCCTGCATTCCCTCATATTGTTTCCGACCTCAGCGAGTTTCCTTCGTCCTCCGCTTTCTACACTTCTACATGCTAAGACAGGGCGAGCTTGTGGGCCGGATGGCATCCCGGCTGAATTGGGCCACGCCAGCCCGGTGGCCATGCAACAGGTCATGTTGCCGCTAACGCCAAAGGTCGGTATGCAATGCAGGGAGCCACTCGGCCTGAAATTTGGCATCCTGAGTTGGTTGTCTAAGGGCAAGCGTAGCAAGGTTGCGTGTGGTTCCAACAGTGCCATCATGCTGCTCTCTGTTCTTGCGAAGACACTGCATAGAACTTTCCGTCCAGCCCTTTACCGCTTTTTCGATGCCCACCCTGCGCCGGTCCAGATCGGAAGCAAAAAAAGCACAACAGTGCTGTTTGGGCCCCACATCAGCAGAGCCGAGCATACGGCCGCTGGCGTGCCTCCCACTCACTTTCCTCCGCCATCTTGTTCGCTGATGTGCCGGCTGCATATTGCATTATTACAGCGCTGTCAGAGACATGACGGCGAGGCGTGTTGGCTCTGGCCTTGGCACTGCCGAGGCCTGCCGGCGAGAGCCCTGGCAAGTTCCGGCAGCGGCTCGCTGAACCCACCGACTTGAGTGCCGGCAACGCATCTTCCTGGTTGAGTCCTTGACCCATGACTTCGACCATGGGACTTGGATGACCTTGGCCGGTGACAGGACTCCGGTCTTAACTACTCAGGGCTTCCGCAGGGGCAAGCATGGCGCTAATTCCAATCCGGCTGCGCTGATCTTTTACGGCTTGCCGGTTGCAGTTACGTCTCCATCCTCACTGGAGACGTTGCCCATTTCCGGCTGGAAGACCCTCTGTGCCGGAGTTTGTTTATCCGTTCTGCCACATCCTACCTTTAGCTGCACGTCAACTTTGTCTGGCTAGAGCACGCTTGCGACACGGTCGACAATTTCCTCCTCACCTCCCTCCACGCACCATTATTTCTGGTGCGCCGCGGGCTGTGCTCTGCCTGGAACCTGTGAGTGCGTGGATTTTAGAGTGCGGCTTTGTCAGGCGACCTTGAGGTGTTGGGCTTCTTGCCTGATTTCCGCCTCTTTCACCCGTTTCACTTTGAATTCATTTTGCTAGGAGCCCGTCCGCCGAACTCTAAGCTCGTTGAAGAACAAGATATATGATAATTATATATATATACACACATACCAAGACTTGTTATCGTTTTCTATTTTGCAACAAGGCCTTGAAAGACATGGCCGCGGTGGGCCTCGCCAACATTCTGGAAGACAGCCCGGAGAGCGTGGCGAAGGCTGTGAGATTTACTATGGCAATCATGCATGCGATGGGAAAGGTACAACGTCTGCATGCGTTTCTAGCATGGTTCGTTGACAGAGAAACAGATTCCAGATTCGATTCACCCTCTGACGATTTTACCCTGGGCGCGAATTTCAGGTCTTTCTCGAGATCCCAGATCTGCCGAGGAGGACGAGTTTCATCCACCCGAGTTTCGAAAACGGCAAAGCCTGATGTATCAGCTCGTTCGCACTGTGCAGGCTCGCCTTTCTGCTTACGAACAAGAAGCAGCCCCTGGAGACCAGCACTCGCCATACACCAAGTCGGGTGTAAGTCGGGAGTCAGGCAGGAGTCTTTAGATTTTCGATCGTCTGCTCGAGGGCGGCACCTGACGCGAGCGATTGCGTTACTCGCTTCCCGAGAGGCAGCGGCCCGGTGTCAACTGCACCTCAGTGCACCGCTTGTGATCTTCTCCTGCCAGCCTGCCAGGCCTCACGCGTCTCAGTGAAGGAGTCTGGCGCTCCGGAGGCTCGGACTCCGGAAGGGCGTGCCACTGTGCAGTCCTTTGCGATCAAATCTTTCTAAGCAATCCCTTTTGGGTGGTTTACTTCGAGGGGCTTATTGCATTTCGACATGTTCTGAGTCGGAGTGTGAGGCTTTGCTGGTGTGTGGTCGTGGGGTGCGCAAAGGATCGCAGATCCAGTAGCAGTGCGGGAAACTTCATCAGGACACGGCAGCAAATGTTTTGGCCAGACGTCGTAGCGTCGACGCGAGCAACTCGAACATGCTGGAAGGGTAAGGGTGGACCTACCAAGAACGTTCCGGACCCGACATGCATGCACCTGGCAAGACGATGGGCCAAGCTTAGTCACAAGAGTTGTCGTGACCAACTCGCCGCCAGCCGAGACGAGCCAGCGTCAGAAACCCCCGAGCCGAAGCACAATCAGTAAGAGCTTGGTAGAAGAGATCACTCCTTTTCGCTCGTGTCGTGGTACGCCTCGCCTGTTTCTTAGGGTGTGCTGCCCAGCGCTTCTTGTTGGGCTTGGTTGCCACCCATTATTCGCAAAGGTTTGTGGTTTGCATGTTTGAGTTTATCTTGGGTTTACCCGGGGCAGTGGGTTGAGAGATCAGCCAAGATTTGGGGTGGGCTGCCGATGGCCGATGGCTGGTTCGAGTTTTGAGTTCTCGTTGCCTATTTGAGAGCTGATGAAGTGGCACACTGGCACTTTAATTCTGGCTTCGTTTTGTGCTTGGGGTTTGCTGACCACAACTTCAACAGCCAGCATGGCTTCGGCAAAGGTGTGGCTAGCCGCAGCCCCCAAAGCGCATACACAGAGACTGCCACAGGACACGGTAGAAAACTGAAGTAGTAATGGGATTCGCTACTCAGTCCCTGGCTTTTTGGTAGCGCTATGCTTTCTTATTCCATGCGCGTTCTCGGACTTGGGCTCAGTTGGAGCCTGTCCGTTGTCTCCTGGCACTCCACTCGCAGGGCAGACAGGATTTTTGTGGAGGCTCTCTTTTTGATCAAGTGACGTAGTCTGACAGGCGCTTCTGGCTTTGACGGCTCCGGTCCAAGATGGCTGGTCGCACGACCTCCCAGGAGTAACCTTTACAGCACCACCCCTTGCCTGACTGCAAAGGACCAGGGTGGCCTCGTAAGGAGCTCGAAGTGTGGTGATCAGAAGCAGATGCTACACAGCTCGGCATCTTGAAGCTCCGATTCGAGGCGATGGAGGCTTCCCGGGGCCTTTTGAACCTCGCGCCCGTGGCAAAAGACCGTCGCTTGGCAGTGCGGTGTCTCGGCAGTTGGAGGGTCGAGGAAGTCCAGCCGCTCAGGCGACAAGTTGCTCAAAAAGGGCATCTTGCCGAAGCTGGTGGGTTCCTCAGGGCCGGCAGGACGCATGCTTGGATGCTTTGCTTCAGGTTGAGTGTATGGCGGATCCGATGTGTGGATGTTCGCTGTTTTTGCAACTCTGCGGCCGAAAAAACAGGCGTTGTCTAGGCACCATCGGGGAGTGAAGGCAGTGGCAGACCGGCTCGCCGCCTCGCCTCGACGAGGTGACGCTTCTCCGGTCTCCCGAGGCCCGGGATGTGGCCGCTGGTGCCTTGGCGCCGGGACCCCGGGACATAAAGCGCGACCATGGGCCAAGCCTTGTGTCTACCTGAGGGCTTGAGGAATGTCAAACTTTGTCAACATGTCGAAATGCAGGACTTCACGAAATCGGATTTTGCAGAACTTCATGTGCAAGGTTAGGTCACGGCACCTTGCTGCTCGAAGCTCCGAACCCACTGATTGGGAGCATCTTCCAGGTCACCAGACTCACTAGGGGAAACGGAATGCTCCTGATGCACCGTCAAGGGGTGGAAACGTGTTGCACAGCATCTTGTGCGGGAACATGTATTCGAAATTTGAGATATCTGAGTGATCTGGACATTTATCCGCACAGTGCAGATCTTGCATCTTCCAGATTGGGTGCTGCTGCAAAGCGATGGCAGTCATGGGACAGAAATAGACAGACCATGATCTGGCTGGTCTCTGTCTCGCGATGTTCTTCGCTTCTCGAACTGCCTACTTCTTGTTGACGTGTTCCTCTCGAGCACTGTAAACATCGCGGACATTGACATGTGGAGTGAGCAGGGATCGACGGCATCGAAGGAACTACGCAGCTGTTGCCACGTTGGCTTGAGTGCGAGCGCGACCGAGGAATTTCACTGCCGGCTCCAAGGCGGCAGCGGTGGAAGCAGCACGGCTCGGTGCTCTCAGTGCCCTGGCGACGATGGAGCAGAGACTGCTCTGGAACAGAGGGGTGTAGAATCAGTGTCGACGTGGGAGGGAAGAAGGGCTCAGACATCGAAGTGCAAGGTAGCAAGGCACAGGCCTTCAATTTGGATGTGATTGTCTTTGGTCTTGCAAGGCCTACTCGCATCGCAGCTGAAGCAGGTGCTTGTAGCTGCGAGGGTCACAGTTAACATTCACTTTTCAGTCTTGTTCTGCAGGCATGCGATTCGCGAGACGAGAACATGACATACGAGGCCACTGACACTGATGTCAATATTTTCGAAAAGAGCTTTGTGCAGGAGCGGCATTCGAAACACCAACTCCTGTAGCTTCTTTCGTAGCCTGGAGCGCTGTGTGTTTTGACTGCGCAGGGTTGGTCATTCCTGACTCGTTTGTATGTACCGTCATTGGCTCTTGCAGGGGAAGATCCGCCCAAAGTGAGATGGCTCTAGGATCGCCCCCCATTCATGGCCTGAAGACGGTCAGTTACCGCTGCAAGCATAACATGACGCCGAGTAGCTGCAACTTTCCCTTGACCGTCTGTCTCCGAGCAGGTCCTGGGCTTTGCTGAAAATGACGCCCCAGTCTGGGTCGCATGGCTGCAGTGGGCCTGACAGCCTGACAGCGACTGGGCCAAGCTTTAGCATTCCTGAAACTCCGCTCACAGATCCTGGCGGCTATTGCGCACATTGTGGACCTCGTAGACACTCCTGGAGCACGCCGCGACGCAGGACACGTCTGCACGGGTCATGGTGTGTGCTTGCAAGAAGGTGTGTCTGGAAGTGCGTGCCTGTCGGTGGCGTGAGGTGCAGCTGTTCCATGTATGTGCCTGTGCGGAGCCTACTTTGGAAATTTTGGAAGCATGGGACAGAAAGACATGAAAGATCAATGTTTTAAGGCTTTAAGGGAATGTTTCGGAGTCAGAGTTTTAAGGCACGACGACAACTGTGGTCGCAAGTACGGTTTTCCCCATTCCCCAGGCTGACTTGCCAGGGTGAGGGCAGTGTGAAGGACCGCCGTCCAAGTCGATGAAGTTCTGGGCGTTGTGCTCACAGTTACATGTTACCCTTAACTGCCTTAACCTGTACTTTACCGCTGTTGCAGTTTGAGCCTCAGTCCTGCGTCTTTCTGCCCAAAACCCTTCCCATGTCAAGCGTGACAGGAGCTGGGTATCTTCGCCTTGGGTGCAATGGTGTGACGCCCGGGTTTGGGCTTCCAACCTTCAGCACCGTGGCAGGGTAGAAAACGGATGGTGGATGTCAGTGCCAGTTCTAACACCAGCGACGCCTCAATCAACTGCTTCGTCTTGGCCCGGAAGGCCAAGAGCCCGGAACTGCTGCGCCCCACGGTGGCTGACTGGCCTGGGCTTCGCGAGGCGGGTGTTTGCATGCACGCATAGCTTGTCAGACTAGATTCTAGTCACTGGCCACGAAAACAGGCCTGTGCGGCGATGTCATCACCGTTGCTGGATCGTGCCAAGCTGGTGCAGCGCTGCATACCAGTTTACTAGATCGCAGCGGCCAAAAAGGTCTTGCAGGGAATGCCTTGGGAAGACAGAGTAGCCCGTGAAACCAAGAAGTGTGATGCCTATGCCGGAAGAGTTGTAGCTCTGGCACCTGGAATTGACGATCATTCCTGAAAGCGAGAAGATGAATTCAACTCTCCGATCCGGCTGAGAGCATGCCACACTTTGCAAAATGAAGCCTCGTTTCGCTTGCCAGGCAGGGACAGGGGCATGCATCACTCGACCTCAAACTAGACTAGACTCTAGACCACAACCTACACGTTGTCGCAGCTGTGCCGCTTAAGCATGTGCACCATGGAAACATGGTCATGGCGACTCTGACAAGCAACGACGAGCAGGCTGCCCGACAGCGCTCGCAGCGCTTGCAAAGGCAAATTGTCAGCCTGCATCTGTCCGAGGCTGTGTGTGGCGGTGAAGCCACTGCAGAGGACAGCAACGAGCAAAAGTCTCAGAGGCTGCTCAGATTGTGAGGGTTTTGATATACTCAACTATAACAGCGACTGCGTGCTGTCTGGTCGGACAATGGGCCAAAGCCAGCATTTCCATAGCTTTTCAGAGATTCTCCAGGACTTTGCGGAAGGAGAGGGCGGGAACGATTTCGTGGTCTCCAACAAGTCGCGTCCTTGTGACCGCTCCTGCAGTACCCCACTCTAAGTTCAGCCTGAAGCCTCAGCAACGAGAGACGGATGCTGGTCCAAGGCGGGACTTCTTCCATGAAGTTGCAGAAGTACGGGAGGCCAGGGCCAGAATGGGATGAAAGTTCTTGTCGCCTGGTGGCTGCTCTGCCGACTTGCCAAAAGTGCCAAAAGCGCCTGGGACCCTGGCAGCTTCCAGACAGTAGGGAGAAGAGGCTCAGGCAAGCTCCGAGGAGCGCCCGCCCCGACGTGGTGTGGAAGGACGCTAAGGGCATTCATCGACGCCTCTTCCTGCCTAGCGGAACGTTTTCCTACACTTGTGCATCCTTTTAAATTTCTCGGCTCACGGTTGGACCGGCCCCCCATTCTGAAAGTGAGCCATTCACCCGTCGAAACGTGAGATGTGCTCTGTTACACCCAGTCTTTTCTCTCTCTGCACATGGATCCAGTTCCGATGCTTTGAAGGCCTTGAAGAAGGCCGTGCAGCCGGATCTTCCGTCCGAGCCGCAGCTTTTTGCATGCCGGGCCCCTTTCTTTCTTTTGTCTTTCTTTTGGGTGCAGCGCCTCCCGGCCCCACGAGGTCTGCAAGCTGCCGCGAGACCTGTGAGCGGATCGGACAGATCTGGGGCCAGTACCAGGAGAGATCAGTCCCAGTACGATCTTCGTGGGATCTTCGGTGGGATGGCGAGTGTTCAGCTTTGAAGTTGGAAGCGGAGCTCCCCTGACAGGAACAGCCCGGATTGCTGGATCCCTTTCTCGAGGCCTGTCTAGCGGACATCTTTCCCGCGCCTTTAGGCATTGAAGGCATTTTGGCGCAGTGCAGGCGCTGCAGTCCTGCGGTGAGACTTGAGATTGACTTCGGGATAGGATAGTAAATCGAAGTATCGAAGTCTCAGCTCTGGGCGGCCTGGGAGTCCTTGAGCTTTGTGATATCTTGCGGCAAGTATTCGACAGCCGTGAATAGCCTGCAGGAGATGGTGGAACCTCTCATGGGCGCCATAGCTGTGGCCCGCTGCCAAAATGGACGCCGTCTTTCGCTTTTCGTTTTGAGATCTGACGGCACACAGCAAACGCACTCAGGCGGTGCACAAGTCACCTCGCAACGCGACCAGCGCCCTGCCCAACCTCCATCTGCTCAGTGCAGAGCTCAGAGTCCTGTTTCTCGAAGCCCTGTTCGGGCCTGGTCCCGTTGTCTTACAATCACGATCCCATGAAGGTTCCCTGCTGTACCTGCTCACAACGGCCCGGGGCCGTGTTGCACAGTCATGTTCGAGCATATGTGCGTGATGTGGCCGACCGTGACGATGAAACTTCTGTAGAAACGGTTTTGGCTCAGGTGCGGGGCTACAAAACAGTCTCCAGATTCTTCCCTCACGAGGTGGCGAGCATGAGCATGCCCGAGGGGGTAGACAGGAGCTGAGTCGATTCAATCGAGATTCCTTACGACCTCCCTTCTCCCTTCAGCCCCAGAGCCCAACGCTGACAGGCTGCCGACCTGGAGCCGTGCCTGGAAGCTGCAGAGGAGTTTGGCTGCTTTGATACGCAGCCTCAGATGTCACGAGCTCTCAAGGTGAATGTACTTGGGATTTTGTACTCCCAGGAGGAGGCCCGTGCCGGACAGAGCGAAACTTGGTCGCGACCTCGACTGTGAAAGAGCCTGACACGCTTGCAAGCTGCCTTCCCGCCGTTGACAGCCTGCATTCTGTGTCCAGAGTATCCACGCGTCCCAGCACAACTGTGAATCCTGTTGCATCAAGGTCGACGCTGTACTGCCTCACGCTGTGGATTGCACCTCAGCTCCCACCCCTGTTGGCCATGAACCGAAAAGCCACAGACTCCGGGTCCAAGTTCATCTTGTCTGCCTAGTCTGTGCATACTCCTGCATCGAAGATGTCATACTGTACAGGTTTCCGGCTCTTCTAGAGTTGGGTTGCCAGGGGCGAACCTCGTGCGGCCGAGGGCTAGGGTGGGGGCGTTGGTAATGTTAGGTCAGTTGCTTGCAGTTGGCGAAGTAATCTCGTCCTCCTCGTCGTCGTCGTCCTCATCCTGGGCTGGTTTTGCCTGGCTTGACTTCTGTGGATCATCTCCCAGCACAGTTTTGGTTTTCTTGCAGCCAGTCACTCCTTTTTAGGGTTTAGGGTTTTCTCCATCATCTCCAGTCACGCGTAGTGTTTCTGGGAATCAGCATTCCTTCGGCACCTGAAGTTTTGAATTTTTGGTACACCGTCGTTCTTGTCTGTGTCTTGGGCTTGCCAGCCGCCATCTCCCGAACTCCTGATGATAGTGATGATGATGATGATAATTCGTGATTTAAGGTCCTGTTGCTATACTACGTCGTTCATCTCCATGCAGCTAATTTGACTCTCCTGAGACACCTTTCCAGCAAGTCTCTTGAATCAGTGAAGCCCGGCAAGCACGGCAGCTCCCTTCCCGCCTTAAGGCTGGCGATGGTCCTCCTGACCCCCTTCGACTTGAAGGCTACTGAGATTTGTGTCCTGTGGCAAAAGAAAAAGGGAAGCACACCACGGTACGAACGGAACTCGAGAATTGACCGCAAGGCAGGGGTTGGGTTGTTTTAAAAATAGGAAAAGCATGCCTCCTTTCTCTCACATCTTTTCCCAATTTTCAATAGAACAACACTCGGTAGCAGCCAGAATGGAAGAATGAAGGGAACAATTGAGGTGATCAGTGATCAGCTAAACGTTGCCGCGCCACGAAACCCCAGATCTATGCATGGCCAAGCTCATGGATAGGTTGCTCGCATGATGCACTCCTGCAATGCGTTGCAGACAAACCATGCAGCCAAGCCTACAACAACACCGGAGGTGATCGACTCTGGCGGGGCCGCGCGCTCATCTGCTAGTTGCCTGGCTATCGTGTACCAACTACAGTTGTTTCGCGAAGGAGCGGCGCAAAACGTCAATGTAAGATGCCAGACTTGTGCTGCAGCCGTTTTCGGAGTCGCATATGTTACCGCAACGGCCCCCAAGCTTTGCCATGCAGCAATTGGGGGGACCCCAGGCGCAGAGCACAGCATTAGCACAGAACTGTCTCATGTCGTGCCTGACATGTGGCCCAGGGTTGTCACTTTGCCCTGTGCAGGTGATGAACTACTGGCCGGCACCACCAATGCCACCTCCTATGGTGCTGGGCCGTGGTGGGGGCCACATGCTACCGCCAAATCCACCAGGTCTGGTAACATGCACGAGCATGTCCAACATGGCCCCGGAGCTCCTGCAGGTCGGGTTTTGTATCCACATTCAAGCGGTGCCGGTTCCTTCCGCTTTGCTGGGTGGGTCATGATCTCGGGTCAAATTTTCGGTAGGGTCTTCTGGAATGGTTCGTCTCTGACTGTCTGAAGAATCCGCGTGCCAACTGGATCGCCAGGAGAAGGTAGCTCCCATTCCCACGAAGATGGCAACTGATGCATCGCTGTGGACAGGCATCAGTGCCGGCAGCCATGGACATCCGGAGATGTGTCATCGGCCGTGCGTCTACATGTTCAAGTCCGGCTTTTGCCATTTGGGTTCATTTTGTGACCACTGCCACTTGCACCACGAGGGGCCTTCCCTGCTAAAGCTCGACAAGAAGCAGCGTAGCAAGTTGAAAGAACTGTCCCGAGAGGATGTCATGGCCTTGCTCTTGCCTCACATACGTCATCGAGTGGCTCTACACAGCCTGGGCCCTCAAACTCTCGAGCTCGTGCAATTTCTGGAGGCCGAGCTTCCCCTCCCGGATCCAGTGATCTCCGCAGACCTGCTTCCACGAGAAATGGATCGTCTCAATCGCGTGTTGTCACGACTTCCCTTCTCGGCCTTAGTGGCTTGGCTGCAGTGGCACCGCAGGAAGCAGTCCAGGTCGGTTCTTGTTCCACCGGCGTGCAGCAGGAAGAGGGAGAGAGAGAGAGAGAGACTCAGAC